CAATTTTACCTAGCTTTTCTTTCTTTTCTTTCTTTCTTTCTTTCTTTTCTTTCTTTCTTTCTTTCTTTCTTTTATAATTGTATTACCTTTCTTATATATTTGTATTACCCCCGCAAAGTGTGTTTTTTTTTGGAAGATGTTAATAGATCTCTTTACCTTCGTAATCAAGTTGCCCATTTAAGATCACACGACTTTTCCTTGAGAATTGCTTTTCAATGACGAATATGCTAAAATATTTACACATGAAAGAATCAACTCCCAACTGAGTGGCATCACATGGTCTGATATGTGCACAACAAACGACGAAGCTAAACAAATTCAATTTCTTTAAATAGTTTTGACAATTACTTTCTTTGTCGTGCGTCATCCACGTTGACAAGTCTTAATCTTGATACACAAATAACTCTTTAAACACCATTCAAGCACAACATTTTCTTGATCAATCGCATTCACATCCTTTTTTTTTTCTTTCTTTCTTTCTTTCTTTCGGTTTTTCTTTTATCACTTTCTTTCACTTTTTTACTTTCCTTTGTTTCCCTCAAAGAAAAAGACACCTAAATGAAAAAACATGAAAAATGAACATGAAAGAGCGAAAAAATAATTTGAAAGTGGAAAAAAAAATTTACGAAATACAAGAGAGGAAAAAAAAAAAAGAATAGAAAACTGAGAAAATGTTTTCGACTGAGAAACAGCTTGTTACTATGTATTATAATGTAAATCAATCCCAACTGCATTAAAGCATTGAAACCTGCAGTAACACGTTAGACTTTGTCAAGGACCGTCTTTTATTGATAACAAACCAATCTGGCCTTTATTTGCAAAGTTCTTCAAGATCTAAAACCCTATTTCGAATATATACTTTACCAAACCCTTAACCTAGTCATATAACCATCTACTTGATTCGTTATTTCATTTTCATCATGACATTGGCCTGTTAATGGGTTATTCCATCTAAACGGCGCACAGCACATCTAAACTTAGCCCCTAGTGGTGTGTTTATTTGGTTGCTATGACAACAGCTTTGTTTATTGATAATAATTTGCAGTCAAGATTGAATGTCACTTTTACCTTCAGAAGTGTTTTTCCACAACAATAATAATCGCATAACAGATGGTACGGCTGATTTTTAGTCCATTCGGTTTAATTAAAAATATACAAGTTCATTATTGAAAGAAATAAATTAAGAACTTGGTCGTCGACACTCGATGAAATAGAAGAATTAAAGTATACATAGTTGTAATTTTAGTACTTGCAAACTCTGAAATGACACAGTTATTTGTATTTTGAAAGAATAAGAATATTGTCTGCAAGACAATGATGTGACTTGACAATTTTAGCGGATTTCAGTTCTACTCAAGATTACAACGAACTTCCTACAACCGAGAACAATTTTCGTATCATTTTTCTGGGCAATTGAAAAGGTCAATGGCAAAAAATCGAGAGCTGTGAGAAATAAATGGCTTCCAAAATGACTAGCAGTTAAATGGCTTTTTTAAACATAATGCATTAAAATGGTTTTCCCGTCACAGCGCGGGAAATTAGACGACGGCTATTAAATGGGCTTCCAAAATGACCAGTAGTTAAATAGCTTTTTTTAAACACTATGCATTGAAATAGTTTTCCAACATATTTGGTTGAGTCTGATTGAAATTCGAGAGCACGGTAACACTGAAAAGAATATAATAACTGAAACATGCTAACGATTACCACTCTTTGAAAATTTTATTCACAAAGTTTATAAAATGCCCGCCATGTCCAACTTTATTCGTTTACTTTACCCATTTTTGAAAATTCCTATGATTTTAATATAGCATTAGTTTCGGCAACGATTTTGAGTAGTATTTTTGACATCGTTTTAAGAATTAATTTGCAAAACATTTATTTTTATTTTTATGAGTTCGATCAAAGTTAAGACCGATGATAATCAAGCGAGCTTGCAGAAACATTCGTACGAATGAAAACAATATCGAAAACAATATCGAGCAGTTAGTATAATTTTGTTTCTTCCTCCTTGAAGCGAAGAATAGTTTATTGAAAAAGAATTTTCTGAATCCGGAGATTTGATCACTAATTTACTGAGAAATATTTCCTCTTTTCCCTCGAAAAACTGTGCTAAAAATAACGATTTTAGTTTCCTTTTTCTTGGAATAGTAGCTTAGCTTGGCGCCTCAAAGCCTGAGTACTCGCGGAGTATATTATACTATAAGGGTTTTAAGTTCTAAATATGTAAAGAAATATTACAAAAAGGAGATTCAAGTTTGGAAATTTTGTTCTTGATGACAGGAAAAAAAACATTTTCTTTTTACAGAAAGAAAATCTTACGTGTCTTAAAAATAAATAAAGTAAAACTTACCCAATGACCGAGTTTCTGGCGCGTGTTGGCTTGAATGACAGGATTACACTCCTGTTGCTTTGGGGGATTTTTGAAGAACAACGAAGTCTAAAGACACCAATCACTATTCTAGTTTCTTTATGAAAAAAAGAACTTCACATGAAAATTTGAGGGGCAATTTGACTCATAGCAACATCTGTAGCACAAGAAAAACTATTTGAGTAAGAAACTTCCGTCAATCTAGGACTTTATTCTTTTTTTAATATATGACCAATTTTGGCTCTCATACAAAGGCAATTAAAATTGAAACTGTGACAGTTATTTGGTGCATTAATTGTGTTTCACTTATCATTGTATAATATGCTAATTCTGTGTGAGGTGCAGAACGAATTCGTTTTAGTCATCTTAGTTCAACTCTTTGGATACTCATCGGTATACCATTTGTTAACAATTGAATATAGAATATATTGGCCTTAATGCGTCATATTTTGGCCGACTTGTATCCAATGTTTTGTTTAGTATTGAGGTTTTGTAAGTATGATAGTTTAAATTGTTAGATATTGGGATAGATAGGATGGTGAACTGCGCTGAAATATTTCTGCAGATTTTAAATTTGAATAACAGAGTGAGAACTATTAATATCATTAATGGCACTCAAATGGCTTCCACCCACACTGAGCCAATCGAAAACCGAGGAAAACGTATGTCATCCAATCAATCTGCGGGAATTTGAAAACCATGTTTCAGTCGTGGTGTCCACTCATACAACAAAATACTATGATAGAGTATGATTTTTGATGGGGGGAGGGGAGGGCGGAGAAATGACCAAAAAAAAGCCGCTCCATGTCTGCACAGACCGTATATACGAGGGGACCAGTGGAAGAAATTGATTGCACGATGTTCGTCTTTGTGCTTTTAAATCGGAAGCCATTCTAGTGTCAGACTACCTTAATGTTTCCACTCACTTAAAAACGCCACAAAATGAGTACCATTCAATCAAAGGACTTGAATGTGGAAGCCATTTGAGTGTAAGGCTACCTTAATGTTTCCACTCATAAAAACGCCATAGAATGTTAGTGAGCACCATTTAATTATCGGCCTGGAATGTTGAAGCCTTTTGAATGTAAGCTACCGTCATGTTTTGACACAAAACGAGTACCGTCTAATCACCGGGCCTCAGTGGAACTTAGAAGCCATTTGAGCGTCAAGCTCAACAATTGCATGCATAGCTGGTTGTACAAACTTCAGTTTGTCCGTCAAATAATAACTAATCATAACTATTTCTATTATATCCATTCATAAAATCTGTAACTAGTTCTCATTGTACGTAGGATAGTATAAGTGCTATATAAAAGTGTACAAAAACAAATCGTGGCGTTTTAAGCCCTTTTACCATACCTATAACGGAATACCTCGAAACAAAAGTCCATCCGGAAGCGTACTATAACAGTGAATAGATCTAAGGCTGCTGGCATTGTTTGAGGAGATTACAACTAAATCTTAACATTAAATATCTCATTAAGCCTTAATGCCAAAATACAACGTTGTACAAATACTTTTTGTACGCTGGATCCACCCTCGTGTCTAGATTGCTTTATTCTGAGTTAATACGGCTGATTAATAACCAATAAGGTTAAGAATCTTTAATCTCTAGTTACTCAGGACCAATAGATATGTATTCAATATGTGGACCGTGTGAACAGGAATCAAATCAAAACAACTACTGTCCCGTAATGTACGATACAAGATGAAAACCTGCGTTGTGTAGAACTGTAAAGAATATACTTTGTAAAGAATGTACTTTCATTATCGGTCCATTTTGCGCTCGAGTATCGGAGTAAGAAGATCTTTATGTAAAACTGAAGGATTTCAAAAACGTACTTAACTTTTTTATGCAAATCTTGGAACTATAATATTCATGTTATCATGATTCTATGTTGATATACAAGCTTCAAAACAGCAACAATTATGGAACAAGGTTTCCAAAAGGTTCCGGCGCTTCGTGGCCGACCTACAGACGATGACACAGAAGAACTCCTTGACCTCATTCGAAACCAGGAAAAAGACGTGGATCCCGATGTGACGTTTGAAAACATCATGTTGAAGAAAGCTTGTCTAAAGCCTCTACAGGACGTTCCACTTCCTTCGATTACGCAAAACGAGACTGTCTTCACAAGAAAAAAGTCCAAAAGCTTCCCTGGACATTGGTCTAGCTCTAGTTACAATACATGGAAAAATACTGAATTGGTCGAGAAAGATTACGGAAGACGAAAACGTAGTGATCCTCGTTTCTATGAGAAAACACTTTTATTTGACAGTGGAAAAGATTGTGTGAAAAGTCCCAGGCAAATGAGACTGCGAACTTGGTCGTTACCGCCTCTGGGGTTTGCGGTCGATGAAGAATTCCAAAGACCTCAGTGTCCCACACCATCACGCCAGGCGGGGTGTAAGGGGAAGAGATGGGAGGAGATGGGAGGAGGAGGAGGGGGAGGAGGAGGGGGAGGAGGAGGAGGAGG